GGACCGGGACCGGGACCTGGACCCCGTCCTGCCCTGAGCGGGGCCCTCGCGGGTCGGGAGCCGAACCCCCGTGGGCGGCGGGACCAGCGCCTTTCCCGCCGGTTTCCCCTCCGGCGCCTCCACGCGGAGCTGCAGCTGCCATCGCTCCGACCCAGTCAGGTGACCCTGAGGGGAGAAGTGGCGCGAACTGGAGAAACCGGAAGTCCCGCCCTCCGCGCTGGGCGCTATGGAAAACACCTGTCCTGGACCCTGATTGGCTGCGGGCTCTGCACTTCACAGACGGCCTTCTGGGTAATGAGGTTCTGAGGTCCAGGTGGGGCGGTGACCGGGCCTTTCCCACCAGCCTCCAGGACAGCGGTTCTCAACCTGGGGGTCACGGCCCCTTTGAGAGTCGAACGACCCTTTCACAGGGGTTGCCTACGACCATCGGAAAACACATAATTACATATTGTTTTTGTGATTAATCACTATGCTTTATGTTCAGTTTGTAACAATGAAAATACATCCTGCATATCAGATATTTACATGAGGATTCATCACAGTAGCGACATTACAGTTATGAAGGAGCAACAAAAATTAACTAATAAAGAATCTAAAAAAATAAAAATAAATTAAAAAATTAAAAAAACAAAATAATTTTATGGTTGGGGGTCACCACATGAGGAACTGTATTAAAGGGTCGTGGCATTGGGAAGGTTGAGAACCACTGCTCTAGGAGGAAAGGCTGGGACCCACCGCTAGGGACTCTGGGACATGACAGTCGCTGTGCCCAAGGGACTCCTGGGAAATGGCCGAAGAAGGAGGTCATGGAGCCCTGGCCTGGGCGCCCTGGTGATTAGAACATCTTCCCCGGGTGAGGGCTCATGAACCAGCCAAGGAAGGTGTCAACAAGTAGGACCACAAACCGATGCTTCTTTCTCTTTTCTCAATAACTATAAAAAACCGCAAAGTAAACACTTTTAAAATATATATTTTGTTACTGATTTAGGAGCGGAAGGGAGAGGGAGGCAGATAGAAACATCCATGATGAGAGAGAATTATTGATCAGCTGCCTCCTACTTGCCCCCCACTGCAGATGTTTCTTTCAAGTTTGAGAAAATTCCAAATAGGCATCACCTAGCTAGACTAGAGGAAAGGCTTTCCTTGAGCAGAAAGGAAGTAAAATAAGAAAATTATTTAAATGGCAACCGCTTAAATAGTTGCCTCAGTTGTGAGAACCTCGTTTGCTATTTGTGACTGATCTCTCTTAGGTTTCAGTTCTTACCAGTGAGGCATTTACAAGATTTCCCACTGTCCACATGTAGGCTGCGTGGCATTGGAGCCACCTCAGGCTAAGGGCATCCTTGCTGAATGACAGTTCCAAGCCCAAGAAGCAGGTCGCTTCCGTGTCTGAAGGTTCTGGGAATCAAGACCTTATACCAGCAAGCAGCTCGGCCCACTGCAGACACTCAAAGGGTGTCCCCTAGAAACCCAAGCTCAGCTGCCCTTGCTGAGTGAGCACATCGATAGCCCCATGAACTGGAACAGGAGGTAACCCTCCTGGTGTTCACTAGTTAAGTTCTCAAGGTTTCACCTCTGCACCGACCCTGCCCACCAGCACCACCTGGGACTGCTTAGAAATGCTGCTTGTCAGTACCAAGCCCAAGCCTATGGAGTCACTTTGGGGGTGAGCCCCAAGAATCAGCGCTTTGAGGCACCTTTAGGTCGTGCAGACGTAGAGTAAAACAAATCGCACCTCTTGCTGTGGTTCCTGTGGACAGGGCACTGGAGTCCTCTACAGCTGCAACGTTTCACAACTGAGGTTACAAAAGTTGGCAGGACACATTACCTCAATAATCATAATTTTAAAAAACCACAAAGAAACACTTTAGCCCTGGCCGGTTTGGTTCGGTGGAAAGAGCATCGGCCTGGGGACTGAAGGGTCCCGGCTTCAATCCCAGCCAAGAGTATGTCCCAGGGTTGCAGGACCAACCTGTGGTCCTGGTCGGTGCAAATGTAAAGGCAACCAATGAATGTGACTCTCTCACATCAATATTTGTCTCTGTGTGTCTCTCTCGCCCACTTCCATTCTCTAAAAAAATCAATGGAAAAAATATCCTCAGGTGAAGATGAACAAAACAAACACAAACTTGCCCGACAGGTTTGGCTCAGTAGATAGTGTTCCCCGCAGACTGAAGGGTCCCAGGTTCCATTCTGGACAAGAGCACATACCTCAGTTGCAGGTTCCATCCCCAGCCCTGGTCAGGGCCCATGCAGGAAGCAACCAATCAATGTCTCTCTCTCACTTTTATGTTTCTGTCTCTCCCCTTCCCTTCAACTCTCTAAAAATCAATAGGAAATATCCTGGGGTGAGAATTAACAAAACAAAGAAATTTAATACACAAAATGTCCAAATTTCAATTGTTTATTAATAAATTACAAGGCCAATGTATGAAAAAGAATGGTCATTTAAATTGCGTTTTGCACGTGCATAGATTGCAACTTAAATCTAGGAAGGTTGATGGGCAAGTCAAAAGTGTAACATATTAAAAAAAAAAAGTGTAACATATTTACACATCCTTGCTATATAAATGAACTATGGGTAATTTTCAGTCTGCATGTTCAGGGATACCAGTTTCAATAGGAACAGATGGCTCCAGGGTTGTTACACAGAACAGAAATTTGCATATTCTCAGCACACTTTAAGGCAGTGATGGCGAACCTTTTGAGCTCGGCGTGTCAGCATTTGGAAAACCCTAACTTAACTCTGGTGCCGTGTCACATATGGAAATTTTTTGATATTTGCAACCATAGTAAAACAAAGATGTATATTTTAGATATTTATCTTATATGTTTAAGTGCCATTTAACAAAGAAAAATCAACCAAAAAAATGAGTTCGCGTCGGTTCGCCATCACTGCTTGAAGGACTTACTCAAGTGTGAAGTCTCTGATGATAACGAAGTCTGGAATGATCGATAAAAGATTTCCCACATTCACTGCACTCATAAGGCCTTTCTCCTTTGTGAAGTCTCTGATGATAAGAGAGAGTGTCACTATGGACAAAGCATTTCCCACATTCACTGCACTGATAAGGCCGTCCTCCTGTGTGAACTCTCTGGTGTTTAACCATATTTGACCTCGAGCTAAAAGACCACCCACATTGACTACACTGATAAAGTCTTTCTCCTGTGTGCACGATCTGATGATTCTTGAGGATGAAACGCCAGGAAAACGATTTCCCACATTCACTGCACTGATAAGGCCTTTCTCCTGTGTGAATTCTCTGGTGTTGAACCATATTTGACTTCCTGCTAAAAGACTTCCCGCATTGACTACACTGATAAAGTCGTTCTCCTGTGTGCACTATCAGATGATTCTTGAGGTCGATACGACGGGAAAACGATTTCCCACATTCATTGCAGTGATAAGGCCTTTCTCCAGTGTGAAGTCTCTGGTGTGTAATAAGATAAGATTTTTGGGTAAAGCTTTTCCCACATTCACTGCACTGATAAGGCCTTTCTTCTGTATGTGTTTTCTGGTGTTTAACAAGGTAATATTGAAGGGTAAAAGATTTCCCACATTCACTGCACTGATGAGGTCTTTCTCCTGTGTGGATTTTCTGATGACTACAGAGTTTGGATCGAATTGAAAATGATTTCCCACACTCACTGCACTGATAAGGCCTGTCTCCAGTGTGAATTCTCAGATGGTAACGAAGCCCATATTGAGAGGTAAAAGATTTCCTACATAGACTACATTCATAAGACTTTCTTCCACTATGAACTATCTGATGTTGAGTGAGGGAAGACAGTTGGCTAAATGATTTCCGACATTCAAGGGAGTCATAAGGCCTTTCTCCAGAGTGAACTGTCTGTTGTCCAATGAGGATGCATCTACGGCTAAAACATTGTGCACATTCACAGCACAACTCACAGTATTCCCCAGTGTGACTTCTCCAGGGATAAATGAGCACAGATTTTGGGTGAAAGGACTTCCCACAATTCCTGCACTTGTACTGCCTTGGGCCACCACGAAATCTTCGATGCTGATTGAATTTATCACTCTTCACAAGCAGGGCCGTGTCCACACAGCTTCTGAAGGGCTTCTTTGCCAGGTGCTGCTTCTGGTGATTTTGGAAGTTTGCACCCAAATAAAATTGTTTCCTACCTACCTCACACCTGACCACGTTCTGGCTGTGTGGTGTTCCTTGGTGCTCAGCCAACTGGAATATGTCTCTCAAGACTGGACCACAGCTCTCACAGAAGTGGGTCTTCAGGGAAGACAGAGCCGCCTTGGAGGGGCTGGACGGTGACCCTCCTACAGAAGCACTCTGTTCACAGGGAGCATCTGCATCCTCTGATCCACAGCAGGGACCTGAACACAAATAAACGCTGGTGAAGTACAGGTTGGCTAAAGGAATGGGTTAATGCCATCACAAATGTATATTTACCATATGCAGAAATGAGTTTGTGGGATGCTGTTCAACAAAGGGAATTAAAATATGGCCACTGGGCATGACTAAAAGTATACTTCTTGTATGCGTTTAATGGTTATCAGATTAAAACTCAGTGCTATAACTCTAAGATGTTTTAAGTAACCCTCATGGTAATCACAAAGCAAAAGAAATGAAGGAAAAGAAATGAATGCATACCACTATGGAAAAATAATTAAACCAGAGAGTTAGCAAGAGAGAAAAAACAAACAAAACAAAACAAAAAACGGTACAAAACCTGTACACAAAAGTTCACAAGACAGACAACAGAGGACGAGGGTGAGGGCAGGATTTAGGGGGTGGGAGGGGAATGGAGGGGTAAGGACACATTTGTAATACCTTAATCAATAAAGGGAAAAAAATAGTTAACATTTGTAATACCTTAATCAATAAAGGGAAAAAAATAGTTAACAAGACGGCAATCCTCAAGTACTTACAAAATTATCAAGTTATACAAAGTAGCTTAACTTATTAAAAAAACAAGTTTCGCCCTAACCGGTTTGGCTCAGCAGATAGAGCGTTGGCCTGCGGACTCAAGGGTCCCAGGTTCGATTCCGGTCAAGGGCATGTACCTTGGTTGCGGGCACATCCCCAGTGGGAGATGTGCAGGAGGCAGCTGATTGATGTTGCTCTCTCATCGATGTTTCTAACTCTCTATCCCTCTCCCTTCCTCTCTGTAAAAAATCAATAAAATCAATTAAAAGCCTTAAAAAAATAGAATAAATAAATAAATAACATTTTACAGATCAGGAATACTGAAACAAAAACAGAAGAAAAAAGGAAATCTCTCTCTTTTTTTGTTTTTTGTTTCTTATTTCAAAATAACGTTAGGAACAGTGGAAAAAGGTCTCAAAAAATAGCCCAAGGTCCAGGAAAATGGTGACCATGACCATAGCTGCAATTCCTCAGGCAGGTCCTAGGAAGTGTTGGCTAAAGGAAGGGATCAAAAGAAGGACCATGGACCACTGGGCACTCCAGGTCTTACCCCCACAGCATCCCTAGTGACTGTTCACACTCTCTGTCCCTGTGTGCACACTGATGGAAACAAAATAGTCCGAGAGGTCAGGGTCATACAAAGGCAGGGAGCTCAATCCACTTACCCGGACCAGCCTCCTGGGTCTCCTCAAACGGTAATAGGAGCAAGAAATAAATATAGATGCTAAGCCATGGAGAAATGAGGGCTATTTGTCGTAACAGCCAGCATTAACTACTCTGACTAGTAAAGCAAACCAGTTCACCTCTTGGAGCCACAGTTTCCACAACTATAAGTAGGGATGATGTAGGGAGATTTAATGAAATAATGTATGTGGAAATATTTGGCACAGACTCAGGGCTCAACAAATGCTGGTTAAAAAGCAAAAAGAAGAAGGAAGAAGGGAGAAGGAAGGAAGGAGAAGGAAGAAGAAGAAAGAAGAAGAAGAAAGAAGAAGAAAGGAGGAAGAAGAAGGGAGGTGAAGGGGAGGAGGAAGAGGAGGAGGAAGAGGAGGAGGAGGAGGAGGAGGAAGAAGAGGAGAAGAAGGAGAACCATGGATTTGGACACACTGCCCTGGCCAGGGAGGGAGCAAGCATGGTGGACGGCATTAGGCTCACGTCATCCCGTCCCTACGAGAAGAGTTCAGTGCAGCAGGTATTGGGGCTGCAGCAGAGAGAAGAGGGCAGGCCCTGGGGTCCACAGAGCAGCCTCTGGGGGAAGAAGGGGGAGGCAGGGCAGAGCCTAGTCCATGTCCCGGTGAGACGGTGAGAGTCTTACCCAGAGAGGATGCAAGGGCCAAGTTGTCCAGCATCACCTCGTGGTACAGGCATCTCTGAGCCTCGTCCAGGAGCCGCCACTCCTCCCGGGAGAAGTACACGGCCACGTCGTCAAAGGTCACCAGGTCCTGTCGAGATGGGGACAGAGGTCACCATCCACTTGGTCTTTCTGAGACCCTCACAGTCCACCCCTCACACACCTTCCCAGGCACCTCCTCCTCCTCCAGGGAGGCCTCCCTCCCAGGAGACACCAGGCCCTGGGGACCCTGACTTTGGCTCATTTATCAGGGTTCCATAGTGACTATGATTATCTTTTATTTTTAAAATATATTTTACTGGCCCTGACAGGTATGGCTCTGGATGGAGCGTTGGCCTGCAGACTGGAAGGTCCCGGGTTCGAGTCCAGTCAGGGGCATGTACCTTGGTTGCGGCTGATCGATGTTTCTCTCTCATCAAGGTTTCTAACTCTCTGTCCCTCTTCCTTCTACTCTGTAAAAAAATCAATAAAATATATATATTTTTAAAAAATATATATATAATTGATTTCAGAGAGGAAGGGAGAGGGATTCCTATAGAAACATCCACGATGAGAGAGAACCATTGCTTGGCTGCCTCCTGCACCTGCCCGACTGGGGTCGGAGCCTGCAAACCGGCCCGGGCCCTGAGGGGGACTCGAACCTTCACCTCCTGGTTCATAGGTCGGAGCCCAACCCCTGAGCCACAGTGACTGTGCTTAGCCCTCAGCCAGGATAGTGGGGACACGCAGATGCCCCCGGAGATGCGGGCCAGGCCTAGGGGCCCCCTCCCGCCTGCAAAGCAGCTCCCTGTGGACGCAGCCAGAGGGGGCGCTGCTGCACCGGGCCCGCACCGGGGCCTCGGCGCCACCGGCTGACAGCGCCTCCCCCCCGGGCACCCGGATCTGCACCCGCCGCCTCCCCATCACCCCACGCGAGCGACCCAGGGGGAGCCTCACCCACTTCCCTGGGCGGGACGTTCCAGACACGCCCACCGCGTCGTCTCAACGGTTCCCCAGCAACTGGCGGGTGCAGAGAAGCCCATAAGTCCCACCCCCAGGACGCACGCCAGTAAAGGCCCTATCAGGATGCCAATGGCTCCGTTCGCGTGGCCTTCTGGGTAATGTAGTTCCTAGCACACTCTCCTCCGCCCACCGTCCCCGTCCCACCCCCTGGACGCACGCCAGGAAACGCCCTATAAGGAGGCCAATGGCCCGGTTCGCGTGGCCTTCTGGGTAATGTAGTTCCTAGCACTTTATTCCCCAGCTCCGCGGACTCCCTGCCCCGCGTCACAGGCAACTCCACCCTCACCCGTGTCCGTGCTCACGGCGCCCGGTGACTCACACGCTCCACACCGTCGGCCGCGACCCCCGCCCCGGGGAGCCCCCAACAAGAGCCGCCCCGAAAGTGGCGCGGAGTCCGCCCTGCGCCCTCTTTTCCGTTCCCCCATCAGGCGCCAATACCCCCTTTCTATCGGGCGCGGACCTGCTGCGCCCCAGGAGCCCCGACCCGCCTGTCGGCCCTCGGCCTTCCTCGCGGACGAGGGGCCGGGGCTGCAGGAGGGAAGGGCGCCGCCCCCGGGCCTGCGGGGTTGGGCGGGGGAGGCGGGTGGCCCAGGGACACGCGGGGGAGGCGGGTGGCCCCAGGGACACGCTCACCTCAGCCGGGCGCCTGGGCGATGAGCCGGGAGCTGCGGGGTGCGGGCGGCCCAGCGCCCGGTCCACGCTCGTTTACCACGCGAGCGACCCAGGCGCCTGGGGGAGCCTCACACCCACTTCTCTCGCGTGACGTTCTAGCCACGCCCCCCGTGTCGCCTCTCCCGCTCGCGTTGCAGGCAACTGGCAGAGGAAGTCCCACCCCCAAGACCCACGCAGGGAAAGGCGCCGAGGATGCCAATGGATCGGTTCGCGTGGCCTTCTGGGTAATGTAGTTCCTGGCACTCTAGAGACCTGGCGTTCTAAAGCAGTGGTTCTCAACCTTCCTAATGCCGCGACCCTTTAATACAGTTCGTCAAGTCGTGGTGACCCCCGACCATAAAATTATTTTCGTTGCTACTGCATAACGGTAATTTTTTTTTTCATAAATGTAATTTTGCTACTGTAAACATTATGTAGCCCTAACCGGTTTGGCTCAGTGGATAGAGCGTCACCCTGCGGACTCAAGGGTCCCGGGTTCGATTCCAGTCAAGGGCATGTACCTGGGTTGCGGGCACATCCCCAGTAGGAGATGTGCAGGAAGCAGCTGATCGATGTTTCTCTCATAGATGTTTCTAACTCTCTATCCTTCTCCCTCCTCTCTGTAAAAAAATAATATGCCTATGAACCTAATGGTTTGATTCCCAGTAGGGGCACCTGCCCAGTTACCTGCTTCATCCCCAGTAGGGGCATGCAGGAGTCAGCTAATCAATGATTCTCTCTGGTCATTGATGTTTCTCTTTCTCTCTGCCTCTCTGAAATCAATAAAAATATTTTTTAAAAACAAACTGTATGAAGTAGGAAATTTCGTGTAGGGGGAGGGTGTCCCCTCAGCCTGGCCCGCGCCCTTTCGCAGTCTAGGAGCCCTTGGGGGATGTCCGACTGATGGCTAAGGTCTGCTCCCATGGCTTCTGAGCTCTCCAGTTGTCAGCCCTGCTTGTGGCTGAGCTGAGCGGAGCTCCCCCTGCGGGAGCACACTGACCACCAGAGTGCAGCTCCTGCATTGAGCCTCTGCCCCCTGGTGGTCAGCGCATGTCATAACGACTGGTCGGTCCAGCCACCAATGTTCTGCTGTTTGTTCAATGTGCATATTACCCTTTTATCATATAGGAGGATACTGCCCCAGCTGGTTGGGCTATGTGAGTAGAGTGTCGCCAGCAGACTGATGTGTCCTGGGTTCGATTCTGGTCAAGGGCACTTACCTCAGTTGCAAGATAGATCCTGGCCCGGGTTAGGGCACATGTGGTAGACGACAAATCGATGTGTCTCTCACATCGATGTTTCTTTCTCTCACCTGTCCCCCTCCCCCTCTCTATAAAAAAAAATCAATGGAAAAATATCCTTGGGTAAGGATTAACAACAAAAAAAGCCCGGCCAGGCCCTAACCAGTTTGGCTCAGTGGATAGAGCGTCGGCCTGCGGACTCAAGGGTCCCAGGTTCGATTCCGGTCAAGGGCATGTACCTTGGTTGCGGGCACATCCCCAGTAGGGAATGTGCAGGAGGCAGCTGATCGATGTCTCTCTCTCATCGATGTTTCTAACTCTCTATCCCTCTCCCTTCCCCTCTGTAAAAAAAAAAAATTAAAAAAATTAAATCAATAAAATATATTAAAAAAACACACACAAACCTTCACCCTTCACACTTGTGGATTCAAATTATGTTTATAAAACATCCCACACAGTAAACAGAACAACCAAAATGAAAGAGGACTTTCAGAGCAGGGACTTAGACAGTATTGCAGAAACCAAAGCAATGTGCAGGGGACGGTTCAGGTTGGAGACACGGAAGTTGAAAAAAATTCATGGGAGAACGCGGCCCTCTAGCCAGACTCATGCCATAGTCTCTGAGCCCAATGTGAACTCTGAAGACCTGAGGTTACGCCTAATTTCCTCCAATAAATGGGAGAAGAGAAGTCAGCTTCCTGGAGCACATGAGGATGGTAACTGACACAAACTGTGGAAACCAGTTGTGTGGGAGGGCGATGCGGCTTTGAGAACAGAAAACAGCAGGTTAGAAAATGCAAGATATAAAGGGTGTCCCAAAATTCACGCAAGATTTGAATTTTGCCTGAGTATTAACAACAACAAAAATAAATAAAAGCCTAATTTTACTTGGTTTATTGAATCAGATTCTAATATCTGTTCCCCTTTGATTTCAATCCCTTCAATTTGATAAGCATTACCAAGTACCAGTTATGGCCCAGGAGCAGGGACAATGAAGACCAATGAAGACCACGGCTTTGCGTATGTGCCAGCAAAGCCGTGGGGGCCATTTACCCGATGTGCGATTCCATACATAACCCTATACTGTATACTTTCTGAATCAATTAGAAATTTAGTTTTTAATTATAAACCTGTGTTTTCTATCAAAATTACTTCTTGCGTGAATTTTGGGACACCCTTTACATGTTTGCAAAGTAACTACAAATTAAAGGTTATCTCCAAACTTTGATAACGAGACACAGGAGATTGAATACAGACAGATGGTTTCTCCTGGATTCTTCCAGAGTCATGAAGGAAGAAAATTTCGCATTCCCTCGCGGGTCTGAAATATTTCTCTCATGCAAACGCTTCACTGTACAATAAGGTAAATCCTTTCGGAAAAGGATTTCCCACATTCCATGCAGCCCTAAGACCATTCTACTGAGTGAACTGACAGGGACGGAAAGACTGGCAAGCTGTGGGTAAACGATTTTTCACATTTGCTGAAACATACAGCCTTCAACCTACGTGAACTCTCAGATTAAAAACAAACACCATAGATACAGCTAAAACATTTCATATGTCCACTACACTCATGAGACCTTTCACCAACATTAAGTCTCAGGTGCTAAGAAAGGGAAGATTTACGGCTAAAGGATTTAGCATGTTTTTGCAATCAAACACCTTTCTCCCATGTGAACTATCCACTGTTAATTGGACTAGAAAGTATTTTTAAAAGATTTCCCAGGGGGGGAAAAAAGATCGCCCATATTCTCTACAATCCTGAGGCCTTTGTGTGAATGCGCTGGTGTTCAACAAGATGATGTCTTCGAATAAAGGATTTCCCACATTCAATGCACACATAAGGCCTTTCACCTGTGTGAGTTCTTTGATGTCGAATGAGCGCTGAGCTACAGGGAAAAGACTTCCCGCATTCACTGCACTCAAAAGGCTTTAATCCGGTGTGAACACTCTGATGATAACGGAGGCCTGTTCCAGTTGAAAAGGATTTCTCACATTCTCTACACTGATAAGGCTTTTCTCCAGTGTGAACTCTCCAGTGTTCAATGAGGTAAGAATTTGTCCTAAAGGATTTCCCACATTCAGTACACTCATAAGGCCTTTTGCTTGTGTGAACTCTCTGATGTTTATGGAGGGCGTAATTGGTGGTAAAAGATGACCCACATACACTGCACTCATAAGGCCTTTCTCCTGTGTGAATTCTCAGGTGTGTAAGAAAGTAACATTTTTGGATGAAGGATTTGCCACATTCACTGCACTCATAAGGCCTTTCTCCGGTATGAATTCTCTGATGATTTCTGAGGTTAAAACCGGAAGCAAAAAACTCCCCGCATTCCTTGCACTGGTGTGGCCTTTCTCCGGTGTGAACTCTCTGGTGTGTAATAAGGTGATGCCTTTGGATAAAAGACTTCCCGCATTCGCTGCACTCATAAGGTCTTTCTCCGCTGTGCACTCTCTGATGATTACTAAGCTTGGAACCAGCTGAAAACGATTTCCCACACTCGCTGCACTGATGAGGCTTTACTCCAGTGTGAACTATTTGGTGTATATGAAGGTGTAGACTGAGCATAAAAGATTTTCCACATTCACGGCACTGATGAGGTCTTTCTTTTCTGTGGACTCTCTGATGATGATTGAGGATGAAAACTGATGTAAAAGCTTTCCCACACTCCCTACATTCATAAGACTGTCTTCCACTGTGAATTACCTGGTGTCGACTGAGGTAAGATTGTTGGCTAAAGGATTTCCAACATTCACTGCACTCATAAGGCGTTTTTCCTGTGTGTACTCTCTGGTGTAGAATGAGTATGGAACTACCGGTAAAGGTTCTCCTGCATTTGCTGCACCGAAAAGGCCTTTCTCCTGTGTGCGCTCTCCGGTGTAGAGTAAGGACTGATCTCCTGGTGAAAGATTTCCCACACTCACGGCATTCATGGGGCCTTTCTCCAGTGTGAACTCTCCAATGCAGAATGAGGTAAAATTTCCTTCTAAAGGACTCCCCACATTGCGTGCACTCGTAACGCCTTTCCCCAGAGTGAACGGTCCGTTGTCGAATGAGGATGCATCTCCGGCTAAAAGATGGCACACATTCACGGCACAACTCACATTTTTCCCCAGCGTGACTTCTCCAGGGATAAATGAGCACAGATTTTGGGTGAAAGGACTTCCCACATTTGCCGCACTTGTACTGTCTTGGCCCACAGTGAAATCTTCGATGCTGATTGAGGGTTGAGGTTCGCCTAAAGGACTGGCCACACTGGCCACACACACGACGCTTTCCACTTATGGGAACTCTCTGCTGAACAGCGAATGAGGACCGATCTCTGAATGTTTTCCCACGTTCACAGCGCACAACACACTGTCTTCCAGTGTGGACATCCGGGACCCGAGCGTGTGACTTTCTGGGGCTGAAGGCTTTCTTACAGTCTCCCCAGGTAAAGCGACTTTTCCTGTTTTGTACAGTTGCCCAGCACTGGGGAGTTTTGTTGGGCTCCTCTCCAGTGGGAGTCCTCTGCTGCTGGAGATGTTTTGAGGTGGCCAGAAAGTCCTTCCCAACTTCATCACAGGGGAAGGGCTTCTCTGAAACATGGAATTTATCGCTCTTCACGAGCAGGGCCCTGTCCACACAGCTTCCGAAGGGCTTCTTTGCCAGGTGCTGCTTCTGGTGAATTTGGAAGTTTGCACCCAAATAAAATTGTTTCCTACCTACCCCACACCTGACCACATTCTGGCTGTGTGGTGTTCCTTGGTGCTCAGCCAACTGGAATATGTCTCTCAAGACTGGACCACAGCTCTCACAGAAGTGGGTCTTCAGGGAAGACAGAACCGCCTGTGAGGTGCTGGACGGTGACCCTCCTACAGAAACACTCTGTTCACAGGGAGCGTCTGCATCCTCTGCTCCACAGCAGGGACCTGAACACAAATAAATGGCTGGTGAAGTACAGGTTGACTATTAGAATAGCGCCATGCAGGGGTGTGGGAGCACCGAGGAGAGGGTCAAAGGAGGGGGGGGGAAGGAGACAGATGTAATACTTTAAACAATAAAGAATTGAAATAAAAAAAATAAGACGATGCTATCATAAGTTTGTATATGTCAGATCTAGGAATGAGTTTATGTGATTCTTTCCAATGAAGGGAATCAAAATCTGTTTGGGAATGTGGCTATGGTATGACTATAGCTTTTTTAAAAAAAATATATTTTATTGATTTTTTACAGAGAGGAAGGAGAGGGACAGAGAGCTAGAAACATCGATGAGAGAGAAACATCCATCAGCTGTCTCCTGCACACCCTCCACTGGGGATGTGCCTGCAACCAAGGCACATGCCCTTGACCAGAATCGAACCTGGGAGCCTTCAGTTCACAGGCTGACACTCTATCCATTGAGCCAAACTGGTTAGGGCCAGAAACTTTTTCTTAAATGAGTAAAAAGAAAAAAAATTATTTTTTGGACCTGAAGAATACAAAGAATAAACTGAAAAATGCAACAGAGAACTTCAAAGGCAACTTAATGAAGCAGGAGAAAAACTTGTGATCTAGCATCAGGTCAATTCAAATAATTCAGTCAGAGGAGAACAAAGACTGGAAAATGCGTAGTAACTGATGTGATGCCATCAAGGGAATTAATATTTGCAATATGGTGAGTGCCACAAGATATGATGATACAGGGTCAGAAAATTCCTTTAAAGGAATAATGGCTGGCCCTAGCTGGTTTTGCTCAGTGGATAGAGCGTTGGCCTATGGACTGAAGGATCCCGGGTTCGATTCTGGTCAAGGGCACAGGCCCGGGTTGTGGGCTTGATCCCCAGTGGGGGGTGTGCAGGAGGCAGCCAATTAATGATTCTTTCTCATCATTGATGTTTCTATCTCTCCCTTCCTCTCTGAAGTAAATAAAAATATATTAAAAAAAGGAAAAAAGAAATAATGGCTGGCCTGCCTGGGTTGGCAGGATGGCTCAGTTGGTTAAGCCAGAATGCACCAGAATGTCTTCAGTTTCATTCCTGGTCAGGGCACATGCCTGGCTTGCAGGCTCATCCCCAGTAGGGGGCATGTAGGAAGCAACCAAATGATGTTTCTCTCTCATTGATGTTTGTATCTCTCTCCATCTTCCTTCCTCTCTCTCTAAAATCAATAAATACAGCCCTGGCCAGTTTGGTTCAGTGGAAAGAGCGTCAGCCTATGAAATGAAAGGTCCCAGGTTCGCCCTAACCGGTTTGGCTCAGTGGATAGAGCATCAGCCTGTGGACTCAAGGGTCCCGGGTTCGATTCCGGTCAAGGGCATGTACCTTGGTTGCGGGCACATCCCCAGTGGGGAGTGTGCAGGAGGCAGCTGATCGATGTTTCTCTCTCATCGATGTTTCTAACCCTCTATCCCTCTTCCTTCCTCTCTGTAAAATATCAATAAAATATATTAAAAAAAAGAAAAAAAGAAAAGAAAGGTCCCAGGTTCGATTCTGGTCAAGGGCATGTACCTTGGTTGTGGGCACATCCCCAGTGGGAGATGTGCAGGAGGCAGCTGATCGGTGTTTCTCTCTCATAGATGTTTCTAACTCTCTATCTCTCTCCCTTCCTCTCTGTAAAAAATCAATTTTATATATATATATATATATATATATATATATATATATATATATATTTAAAAAAAAGATCGATGCAACTAAATATATTAAGCAAATATTAACAGACTGGACTATAGAAAGGGCAGCCAACATAATCATAACAGCACACTTCAATACTCATCTTTCTGGTATATGCAGTTCATCCAGTCAGAAAATCTATAAGGAAATATTTGACTTGAACAACACTTTATGCCAACTGAATTTAACAAATATATATATAAAACACTAACTATAGCAGTATATACATATCAAGTAGACACAGAACATTCTCTCAAAGAGATCATATGCTTGGTTATAAGTCTTAACCAATTTAGGAAAACTGAAAGCATATTAAGAATCTTATCTGGCCCTAGCCGGTTTGGCTCAGTGGATAGAGCATTCGCCTGCAGACTAAAGAGTCCCAGGTTCAATTTTGACCAAGGGCACAAGCCTGGGTTGCAGGCTCGATCCCCAGTAGGAGGCGTGCAGGAGGCAGCCAATCAATGATTCTCTCTCATCATTGATGTTTCTCTCTCTCCCTCTCTGAAATCAATAAAGAAATATATTTTTTAAAAAAAAAAGAATCTTGCCAAAACCGGTTTGGCTCAGTGGATAGAGCGTCGGCCTGCGGACTGAAGGGTCCCAGGTTCGATTCCGGTCAAGGGCATGTATCTGGGTTGCAGGCACATCCCCAGCGGGAGATGTGCAGGAGGCAGCTGATCGATGTCTCTCTCTCATCGATGTTTCTGACTATCTCTCTCCCTTCCTCTCTGTAAAAAATCAATAAAAATATATTAAAAAAAAAAAAAAGTAGCTCAAGGGTGACAGCTGGTGATTAAAAAAAATTTAAAAAAAAAAAAAAAGAATCTTATCTGACCACAAGAGTTTGAAAATAGAAACCAGTTACAGGATAAAAGCTGGCAAGTTTATAAATATGCAGGCACTAAATAATATATTACTGATAAATGGGGTTGAAGAAAAAATATGTGCAAAATATCTGATTAAGTGGCTAACAGGTTCATTTTAATGGAATATTGCTGTTCCTCACTAATAATCAGGAAAATGTAAATTCAACCCGAAATCTGTCCTTGGGCGAGGATTTAAAAAAACACCACAGGATATTAACTCATACACATTAAAAGGATTATCACCAAGCCCTGGCTGGTTTTGCTCAGTGGATAGAGCTTCAACCTGTGGGCTGAAGGGTCCCGGATTCAATTCTGGTGAAGGGACATGCCCAGTTGCAGGCTCAATCCCTAGTAGGGGGCGTGCAGGAGGCAGCCGATCAATGATTCTCTCTCATCATTGATGTTTCTATCTCTCCCTCTCCCTTTCTTTCTGAAATCAATAAAAATATATTAAAATATACACATACATAGAAAGAAAAGAAAGAAGAAAGGATTATCACCAAAGGGCAACAGGTAAATATTAGGAAACATGTACAAAGAAATGCTTGTACACCAATCATGTCAAACTCAGAGGCTAACACGGGCCAAATAAACAAGGTTTAAGTGTAGGTGGGCCGCAGAAAAAGAAAAGCTTTAATTTTCATAGAAACGTAGGTTTATTTTGAAAGAGACATGCTGAAAACCAAGTGCTAAAATACATGAGTCATCATTAATGAGTATTCGTTGTGGGCCGCATGCTGTTGGTAGAAATGTGAATCCCTAAAGGCGATATGAAAAGCAGAATGGAAATATCTCAAAAGATGCAAAGTAGAACTATCGTATGAACCAGCAATACCACTTGTAAAAATATACCCAAAGGAAATGAAATAAGAATATGGAAGAGATACCTGTACCGTCTTCGCTGTACTATTCTTACAAACAATACACAAAATAAAGAAATAACTTAAGTGTCCATCCAAGGATAACTGGATAAAAAACAGGTATACACACACACAGAGACACACACTTGGAATATTATTCAGCCTTAAAAAAGAATATCTGGCTCCCACCCAAAAGAAATGAAAATGAAAAATAAAAATAAAATAGGAGAAAAAAACACACAATACCCTGCCATATACAACAACTTGAATGAACCTGAAGGGCATTATGCCACATAAAACAAGCCAGTCACAGAAAGATAAATACTGGTGGCTCTGGCCAGAGTTGCTCAGTGGTTACAGCATCGGCCTGTGCACCGAAGGGTCTTGGGTTTGATTCCTGGTCCAGGGCAGGTACCTGAGTGCAGGTTTGATTCCTGGTGTGGGACAGGGTGTGTGTGGGAGGTAACCAATTGATGTGTCTATCTCACATTAATCTCTCTCTCAATACCTCCCACCCCTTCCTTACTCTATCAATAAATCAACAGAAATATTCACTGGTAAGGATTACAAATACACACACACACACACACACACACACACACATACACACACACACATGCACTGTATGATATCACTTAGATGTGGAAAATAAAAAAATGGTGAACTCACAGAGTCGAATATCAGGGCCATGAGAAGGGAGAAATGAGGAGTTATTGATGAAAAGGCACAAAACTTCAGTTATGAGTAAGTTCTGAGGATCTAATGTAAAACATGGTGACTATAATTAATAATACTGTATTTTACACTAAAATGTTACTGGGAGAGGGTATCTTAAGTGCTAATACCAAACAAACAAATAAACAAACAAAAGTGATTCAATTGATGAAAAGTGTTCAGTAAATTCACTATGGCAATTATTTCACAACATATATATATATATATATATATATATATATATATGTATATGTATATATGTATATGTATATGTATATGTGTGTGTATGTGTATATATATATATGTGTATAAATATATATATATATATAGAAATCACCACATTGTACAATTTATTTATTTTTAAAATATATTTTTATTGATTCAGAGAGGAAGAGAGAGGGAGAGAGAGATGGCAACATCAATGATGAGATTCATTGCTTGGCTGCCTCCTGCACGCCCCCTACTAGGGATCGAGCCTGCAACTTCAGGCATGTGCCCTTGACCGGAATCAAACCTGGGACCCTTCAGTCCACAGGCTGACGCTCTTACCACTGAGCCAAACCGGTCAGGGTTGTACAATTTAAATATATACCATTTTACAGAACAACAACACTGAAACAAAAAACAAGTAAAAAAAGAGAACTAGGAAAACTATAACCCATGCCAAACACTCTTAAAAGACAGCCCCTGGTCTAGCGAAGTAGTGACCAGGACAATCCCTACAATTCCTGGCAAGGCTGGCCCTAGGAAATGTCAGCTAAAGGAAGGTACTATTTTTATCAGTAGTTCAGCATCAACCTACGAAGGAGGAGGTCACGGTTCCATTCCTGGTCGGGCACATGCCAGGGTTGCGGGCTCCACTCCTAGTGTGGCATGCAGGAGGCAGCCGATCCATAATTCTCATCACTGCCCTAGCCAAGTGGTTGGCAAACTCATTAGTCAACAGAGTCAAATATCAACAGTACAATGATTGAAATTTCTTTTGAGAGCCAAATTTTTTAAACTTAAACTATATAGGTAGGTACATTGTTATTAACTTAATTAGGGTACTCCTGAGGCTTAGGAAGAGCCACACTCAAGGGGCTAAAGAGCCGCATGTGGCTTGTGAGCCGCAGTTTGCCGACCATGGCCCTGGCCAGTTTGGCTCAGTGGATAGAGCATTGGCCTGCGGACTCAAGGGTCCCGGGTTCGATTCGGGTCAAGGGCACATGCCTGGGTTGCAGGCTCGGTCCCCAGTGTGGGGTGTGCAGGAGGCAGCCAATCCATGATTCCCTCTCATCGCTGATGTTTCTATCTCTCTCTCCCTCTCCCTACCTCCCTGAAATCAATAAAAATATTTTTTTAAAAAAAACAACAACAGCCCTAACTGGTGTGGCTCAGTGAATAGAGCATCAGCCTGCAGTCTGAAGGGTCCCAGGTTCGATTCCAGTCAAGGGCATGTACCTTGGTTGTGGGCACATCCCCAGTGTGGGGTGTGCAGGAGGCAGCTGTATGGATGTTTCTCTCTCATCAGTGTTTCTAACTCTCTATCCCTCTCCCTTCCTCTCTCTAAAAAATCAATAAAATATATTTTTAAAAAAACAAAAAACAACAACAACAAAAAAGACCTAGGATCTGGATATACTGTCCGGTCCAGGGAGGTGGCAAGCATGGTGAATGGCATTAGGCTCACGGCATCCCGTCCCTATGAGAAGAGTTCAGAGCAGCAGGTATTGGGGCTGCAGCAGAGAGAAGAGGGCACGGCCTGGGGTCCACAGAGGAGCATGTGGGGTCCACAGAGCAGCCTCTGGGGGAAGGAGGGGGAGGTAGGGCAGAGCCTAGTCCAGGACCCGGTGAGAGGGTGAGTCTTACCCAGAGAGGATGCAAGGGCCAAGTTGTCCAGCATCACCTCGTGGTACAGGCGTCTCTGAGCCTCGTCCAGGAGCCGCCACTCCCGCCGGGAGAAGTACACGGCCACGTCGTCAAAGGTCACGGGGTCCTGTCGAGATGGGAACAGAGGAAAAGGGCACGGGGTTGGAAGCATGGTGAACGTGGACCAGCAACAAACTACCAACACTGTAGAAGACCCCCTGGATCTTATCAGGCTCGGCCTGGATGAGCGAATTTATGTGAACACTAGTGGCCCGGTGCACGAAATTTGTGCACTCGGGGGTCTCCCTGCCCATCCCCACCTGCTGTGCACACAGTCTGCTGATTGGTCCTTATGTGATGGTGGCCCGACCAATTTGCATATTACGCTATTATTAGTATAGATGAGAAATGACAGAGAGCTTTGAGGTAGATGACATGCTTATGATTAACATTTAAATATGACATTGGGCCCTAACTGGTTCGGCTCAGTGGATAGAGTGTTGGCCTGCGGACTGAAGGGTCCCAGGTTCGATTCTGGTCAAGGGCATGTACCTTGGTTGCGGGCACATCCCCAGTGAGGGGTGTGCAGGAGGCAGCTGATCGATGTTTCTCTCTCATCAATGATTCTAACTTTCTGTCCCTCTCCCTTCCTCTCTGTAAAAAATCAATAAAATATATTAAAAGAAAAAAAAAAAAAGAAATGGCCAAGCCCTGGCTAGTTTGGCTCAGTGGATAGAGCGTCGGCCTGCGGACTGAAGGGTTCCAGGTTCGATTCCGGTCAAGGGCATGTACCTGGGTTGCAGGCACATCCCCAGTGGGAGATGTGCAGGAGGCAGCTGATCGATGTTTCTCTCTCATTGATGTTTCTAACTTTCTATCTCTCTCCCTTTCTCTCTGTAAAAAAAATCAATAAAATATATTTTTTAAAAAAATTAATAAAATATATTAAAAGGAAAAAAAAAAAAAGAAATGGCCAAGCCCTGGCTAGTTTGGCTCAGTGGATGGAGTGTCGGCCTGGGGACTGAAGGGTCCCGGGTTCGATTCCGGCCAAGGGCACATGCCCGGGTTGCAGACTAGATCCCCTGTGGGGGGTGTGCAGGAGGCAGCCGATCAATGATTCTCTCTCATCATTGATGTTTCTCTCTCTCCCTCTCCTTCCTCTCTGAAATCAATAAAAATACATTTTAAAAAAAGAAAAGAAATGGCCAAGGATCCTTCTGCCCCGGAAATGAGTTTATTTGCGCGGAACTCACAAATCCTCAAGCTAAGTGGCATTTTAATTTTTTCTCCAACCCTTCCAATCAATGTGCTCCCCGAAACGCAGCCGTCTTTTCTAGGAGTTGCTTTGCTCCATTGCTTTTTTCCCCCAGACAATTTCTGATTTTTTTAAAAATTTAAATTTGATGTTTTCTTTAAAAAAAAAAAAAAAAGATGGGGACTGAGGAAACTATACTTTGTCTTTCTGAGACTCTCCCAGCCCATCCCCTCTCACACCTCCCTCTGAGGGGACCCCGGGCCCGGGGGGTGGGGGGACCCCAATGTCTTCTCTTCACCATCAGGCCCCAGAAGGGGCGGGGATTTCAGGCGCCAACACCCCCTTTCCACCGGGCGCGGACCTGCTGGGCCCCTCCGGAGCCCCAACCCGCCTCTGTGCCCCCGACTTTCCTCAGGGACGCGGGGCCTGGGCTGCGGGGTTGGGTGCGGGAGGCGGGGGGCGGGGGGGCCCCCGGAGACACGCTCACCTCAGCCGGGCGCCTGGGCGCGGCCGCCGCCGCCGCCATCGGACTCGGAGGCGGAGCGGGCGGGGCGGGGCGGCGGACGAAGAGGGGGTCCCTCGTGGGGTCGCCGAGCCGCACCCCGTGTCCGTGCGGCGGGGATGACGACCCCTTTTTTTTTTTGCCTTTTTCAAATTCCCGTCACCTTCACCTCAGCGGGTCCTGCGGAATCTGAAAAAACGCCCGCCTAGAGCAGGACAGCACACGCCCCGCCCCTTAAGGTGACGTCACGCGGAGAGGATGACGTTTTGGTTTGTCATTGGCTCCACCTGGCGCTTGAGCTTCTGGGTAATGTAGTTCCAAGCGCTCCAGGGCTTGCAAGGGAGTTCTGCTGACTGGCCTGCTAGGTTTGCTATTGGACAAGCCTGTAAAGGTAGTGTTTCTGTTATTTTATTGTTCAAAAATTTTTAAAACTTCGTCTTAATACTCACCTGAGAATATGTTTTGATTGATTTTTGTATTTTTTAAAATTTGATTTAAGAGAGAGAGGAAGGGAGAAAGAGACAGAGAAACATCAATCAGCTGCCTCCTGCACACCCCCTACTGTGGATGGAGCAGTAACTGAGGCACATGCCCTGATGGGGAATTGAACTGCGACTTTTGGGGACAAATGCTCCAACCCAGGGAGGCACAAAGGCCAGGCTTTTTTTCTTCATATATATATATATATATATATATACACACACATATATGCACATATATGTGTATATATATATTGTTTTTCTTTTTAAAATATATTTTATTGATTTTTTTACAGAGAGGAAGGGAGAGGAACAGATAGAAATATCGATGAGAGAGAAACATCAATCAGCTGCCTCCTGCACGCCCCCTACTGGGGATGTGCGGCAACCAAGGTACAAGCCCTTGGCCGGAATCAAACCTGGGACCCTTAAGTCCGCAGGCCTATGCTCTATCCACTGAGCCAAACCGGTTAGGGCTCTTTTCTTTTTTTAAATATATATATATATATTTTATTGATTTCGGAGAGGATGGAAGAGGGAGATAGAGATAGAAACATCAATGATGACAGAGAATCATTGATTGGCTGCCTCCTGCACGCCCCCACTGGTGATGGATCTGCAACCAGGGCATGTGCCCTTGACCAGAATCAAACCTGGGACCCTTCTGTCCACAGGCTGACGCTCTATCCACTGAGCCAAAGGCTAGGGCTTATCGTCCTTCTGTCTCTCCCTCTCTCTTCCTCTCTGAAATCAATACCAAAAAAAAAAATTTTTTTTTAAAGTAAGATAGTATTGGACATTCTGATATTGCCATAACCATGAACAAAGCCCCTCTCGGGAACAACGCATTTGCAGGATTCCTCCTCCCCACTTAGGAATTCCTCCTAGTTACAGTGGTGCTCAAACTTCTGGCCCTTAAATACATTTCCTCATGTTGTGGTGACTCCAACCATAACATTATTTTAGTTGCTACTTCATCACTGTCATGTTGCTACTGTTATGAATCGTCATGTAAATATCTGATATGCAGGATGGTCTTCGGCGACCCCTGTGAAAGGGTCGTTCGACCGCCAAGGGGGTCGCGACCCACAGGCTGAGAACCGCTGTCCTAATAGGACCACTGCAGAATTTCTCCCCGCTGCCTCCAGAGCCTGGGAACTACATTACCCAGAAGGCGCAGCGCCCACATGAGCCAATGACCAGGCAGGACATCGCCTCGCTGGGGGCTAGACCTGCTGGGTCCTCCTCCCAGGAGTCCTTTCCAGCTTCACTCGGAGGGAGAGGTGAAGGCGCGGAGGGAGCCGGTGTCCCCGCAGCTCAGACGCTGGTGTGGGGCTCGGAGACCCCGAATTCCACCACAGGTGGGGGCGGGACGGGGTCCCCCTCCTCGCCCCCCCCGCTGCGCCCCGAGAGCCCGATGGCGGCGGCGGCCGCGCCAAGGCGCCCGGCTGAGGTGAGCGTGTCCCCGGGGCCACCTGCCTCCCCCGCCCAACCCCGCAGCCCGGGCCCCGCGTCCGCGAGGACGGCCGAGGGCCGAGCGGCGGGTCGGGGCTCCTGGGGCCCAGCAGGTTCGTGCCGGTGGAAAGGGGTTGTGGGCGCCTGATGGAGAAGGAAAGGGGGGGCGGCTCCTGGCTGGGGCCCCTCAGGGCGGGGATCGTGGCTGACGGTGTGGAGCGTGTGAATCACCGGGCGCCCTGAGCTCGGACACGGGGGAGGGGGCAGGTGTCTGTGAGGCGGGGCATGGAGGCAGCGGGGCTGGGGGTGGGACAGGGCCGGGTGGGCGGAGTATAAAGTGCTAGGAACTACATTACCCAGAAGGCCACGCGAACCGGGCCATTGGCATCCTCATAGGGCGGTTCCTGACCTGCGTCCTGGGGGTGGGACAGGGACTGGCGGGTGGGGTGGAATAGAGTGCTAAGAACTACATTACCCAGAAGGCCACGCGAACCGGTCCATTGGCATCCTGATAGGCCCTTTCCTGGCGTGCGTCCTGGGGGTGGGGCTTCTGGTCGGCTCTGGACCTGCCAGTTGCTGGCCTCGCGAGCGCACGCACGCGATTGGAGCTAACGGGAGAGACGACGCGGTGGGCGTGGCTGGAACGTCCCGCCCAGTGGAGTGTGTGTGAGGCTCTCCCGTGGATCCCTTGCATTAGGGAGACATGGAGGCAGCGGGTGCAGGGGTGCGCTCGAGGAGGCACTTTGGGCTGGTGGCGCCAAGGCCTGGGTGCGGGGACCCGGTGCAGCAGCGCCCCCTCTGGCTGCGTCCACAGGGAGCTGCTTTGCAGGTGGGAGGGGGGCCCCTCGGCCTGGCCCGCAGTTCGGGGGCCATCTGCGTGTCCCCGCTGCCCTGGCTGAGAGCTAAGCACAGTCACTGTGGCTCAGGGGTTGGGCTCCGACCTATGAACCAGGAGGTGAAGGTTTGATCCCCAGTCAGGGCACGAGCCCGGGTTGCAGGCTCCAACCCCAGTCGGGCAGGTGCAGGAGGCGGCCGAGCAATGGTTCTCTCTCATCGTGGATGTTTCTATAGGACTCCCTCTCCCTTCCTCTCTGAAATCAATATAATATAGTTTTTAAAAAAAAGATAATCACACTCACTATGGAACCCTAATAAGTGAGCAGACGTCAGGGTCCCCAAGGCCTGGTGTCTCCTGGGAGGGAGGCCGCCCTGGAGGAGGAGGTGCCTGGGAAGGTGTGTGAGGGGTGGATTGTGAGGGTCTTAGAAACACTAACTATGGTTTCCTCTGTCCCCATCTCGACAGGACCCCGTGACCTTTGATGACGTGGTCGTGTACTTCTCCCGGGAGGAGTGGGGGCTCCTGGACGAGGCTCAGAGACGCCTGTACCACAAGGTGATGCTGGAGAACTTGGCACTTGTATCCTCTCTGGGTAAGACTCTCACCGTCTCATCACTCAGCTTCAATTCCCGCTAGTTTTTACAACCAGAGTTTGGCTAGGTTCCTGGTGTGGGGCCGAGCCCCCTTGCTCCTCAGGTACCTTCACAGCCTAGATATCCCGACCAGTTTCTATCTGCCACATGTAAAAAGAAGAAAAAAAAAGTTTCTGGCCATTGGGGCAAAAATATGAAAATGTAAACATTTTTCATTTTTTAAAATTTTCCAGGGTGTTCAGTTGGTTGACCATCCTCCCATGCACTGAAAGGCTCCCAGTTCAATTCTGGGTCAGGGCACATGCCCAGGTTGTGGGCTGGATGCCTGGTTGGGGAGCCTGAGGGAGGCAGCCAATCAATGTTTCTCTCTGATATTGATGTTGTTCTCTCTCATTCTCCCATCCTGTCTCTCTTTCTCAAATCAATAAAGCATGTCCTATATAATAAAAGCCTAATATGCTAAGTGTCCGGTCGTCTGTTCAACCAATTAAAGCGTCATATGCTAATGATATGCTAAGGCCACTCAACAGCCCGCTATGATGTGCACTGACCACCAGATGGGCAGATAGTCGACTGGTCGACATGTCGCTATGATGTACGCTGACCACCATGGGGCAGATGCTCCTACTCGTAGGTTATCCTGCTGCTGGGGTCTGGCCGATTGGGACTTAGTGAGACCGAGTCAGGCTGGACACACCCTGGAGCCCACCCTGGCTGGCAAACCTCCCACATCCCTCCCTGGCCCTAATTGTGCACCTGTGGGGTCCCTCGGCCTGGCCTGCGCCCTCTCGCAATCCGGGACCGCTTAGGGGATGTAGGAGAGCCAGTTTTGGCCTGATCCCGCAGGCCAGGCATAAGGACCCCACTGGTGCATGAATTTGTGCACTGGGCCTCTAGTTTAAAAAATAAGTGAGCAAAGGACTTGTATGCATGCATATAAGCCAAATCAATGGACACGGACAACAGGAGGATGAGAGCATGAGTGGGGTGGGGGGGTTGGGGGATAATGGGAGGATGAGGACACATTTGTAATAACTTAACCAATAAAGAAATTAAAAAGATAATAATAAAAAAATAAGTGAGTGAAATAAAATAAAGTTTATGTCTTTAAACTTGATGTGTTCATGTAGTTTTCCTGATTTCCCCGATTGGTGTCTCTGTGCCCTCTTGGAGCTTGGTGAGCTTTGGTGAAGCCATTACGTAGAATTCTTTGCCCAGCACTTTGTTGGTTTCACTTGCTGGAAACTTACTGTGCTTCTTTGGTGATGACATGTTTCCTTGATATTTTGGGGTTCCTTCCAACATTTTCTTGATGTCTCCACATTTGATGGATCAGGTACCTTTTCCTGCTTTTATACACTCCTTTTGATGTGCAAAAGTTTTCATCTTGAGTTGGTTGTCAGGTCATTAACCTTCAAGGGTGTGGCAGTTTTGGCTCTGGGAAGGAACCAGACCTATAAGGAATGGCTAACGTTGTAGGGATTCTCCATAGCCAAGGCTGCCAGGTGAACTCACAGGTATCCGGTCATGTTGAGGCTGGGTAGGGTGATCGAGCAACCTGTGTTCTTATCACACCAGGAACGTTTTCCATGTAACCCGTGTTTTGTTGTCATTGCCAGTTCCAAAGCTTACTTCTACTTCACCTTCCTCACTGTTGCTACTTGGCTGAGTAGTCTATTCTGTTTTGTTGTTGCTCCGACTTGTAGTCCATGGAGAATCTCTGGTCTTTGTAGCTCACATATTTCTCTCACCTCTTCTATTGCTTTGCAACATTGGTCCACATGTGCCGTGAGATCAGTATCCGTTTTGAAATTGGCATTCATGGCAGCTACTCTCTTGCAGTTGTTTTTTTTCCCATTTGCGCCTGTGTTTCTAACACAGCCTTTTGTCACTAGAATGAAAGGTCCTGTGGAAACTCCTTTGCATCAGAAGTAGTTGTATTTTTAGTTTTTGAAGGTTATTTTTAAAAAAAAAAAAAGTAATTCCTTATTGTTGAAAGTATTACATATGTCCTCTTATTTCTGCCTTTGACCCCCTCCAGCCTGCTCCTGTCCCCTGCCCCAGGCCCTCACCACCCCATTGTCTGAGTCCTGGGGACATGCATATATGTATACAAGATCCTTGATTGATTATCTCGCACCCACCCACCTAACAGAAGTTGTTTTAGAACATACCTCTTTTTTTAAAAAAAAATATATAGAAAATAGTTTTAATTCAGTCGAACACAGAAAACAGTGTAAAAAATTAAGCAGAAAGCATCAAAAGTCCAAATCCAGGGAGACTTAAAAAAAAATTTTTTTTTATGGAGAATACTAATCATTAATCTGAAAGGGATTTTTTTTTTTTTAAATCTTCACCCGGAGGGATTTCCCCACTAATTTTTAGACAGAGTGGAAGAGAGAGAAAGACACAGAGAGAAACATCATGTGAGAGAAACACGTCGATTGGTTGCCTCCTAATGGGTCAACCAGGGGCCAGGCTGGGGAGAAGCCTGCAACCGAGGTACTTGCCTTTGATGGGAATCCAACCTGGGACCCTTTGGTCCACAGGCTGATGCTCTATCCACTGATCCACACCGGCCGGACAGGGATTTTCTTTTTTAAAAAAAATACATATGTTTTTATTTCAGAGAGAGAGGGAGATGGAGAGAGAAACATCAATGATCTGAGAGAAAAAAACATGATGAGCAAATCATTGATTGGCTGCCTCCTGCACACCTCCCATTGGGAATCAAGCTCAAGCTAGACTTGAACTGTGACCTCCTGGTGAATAGGAGGACACTCAACCTTTGAGCCATGCCGGATCAGCCATGGGGACTTTGAAACAAATTTCAAGAGGGGAAAAAAAGCTACTTGTTAATATTCCTACCTGAGATAGTCAATCTGATAATCATAAATCTCCAAATCTGGAGATCTCTGAACTTGACAAGAGACTTTCCTCCCTACTCACAAATCCCTTCTCAGCATCGCTGAGGAATGGGTGTCTGGCCTATCCATCACAATTTCAGTGTTTGACCTCCTTCCACTGCCTTGAATTAATCCAGCCATTTTATTTTTATTTTTTTAATATATTTTTATTGATTTCAGAGAAGAAAGTGGAGGGAGATAGAGGTAGAAACATCAATGATGAGAGAATTATTGATCTGCTGCCTCCTGCACCCCCTGCCCTACTGGGAATCGAGCCCACAACCCATGACCGGAATCAAACCCAGGAGACTCTTCAGTCTATAAGCCAATGCTCTATCCACTGAGCCAAACCTGACTAGTTCAATCCAGGGATTTTCAACCTTTCCCATCACATGGCACACGTAAACTAATTACAGAAATTCTGAGGCGCAGCAAAAAATTTATGTTTTGTCCATCTGACCAAAAATTAGCTATAATACATGTGAATGTCTTTTTTTGTGTTACACCCTATTCTTATATCCTTTCTCTGGTGAGTCCTCTCCCATTCTTTTGCCTTAGAAGATGCCCAGTAGCAACTTCCCCCACCAGGTTTTAACTCCTTTCATCAAAAAGCAAGCCATAGCCCTAACCGGTTTGGCTCAGTGGATAGACCATCGGCCTGCAGACTGAAGGGTCCCGGGTTTGATTCCAGTCAAGGGCATGCACCTTGGTTGCAGGCACATCCCCAAGGGGGGGTGCAGGAGGCAGCTGATCGATGTTTCTCTCTCATTAATGTTTCCGACTATGTATTCCTCTCTCTTCCTCTCTGTAAAAAAACCAATAAAATATATTTTTAAAAATAAAAAGCAAGCCATACACTCAGTTCTCGATGTGACGAATGCACATTTGTAATGGTGTGGCTCCATCCTCAAAGTCAGCCTGTACTTCACCAGCGTTTATTTCTGTTCAGGTGGCTGCTGTGGAGCAGAGGATGCACAAGCAAACTGTGAACAGAGTGTTTCTGGAGGAGGGTCACCATCCAGCCCCTCCAAGGCAGCTCTGTCTTTGCTGAAGACCCACTTCTGTGAGAGCTGTGGTCCTGTCTTGAGAGTCATATTCCATTTGGCTGAGCACCAAGGAACACCACACAGCCAGAACGTGGTCAGGTGTGGGGAATGTAGGAAGGAATTCTATTTGGGCGCAAACCTCCAAACACACGGGAAAGAGAGAAAAGCTTCTTTCACCTGCGGAGAATGTAAGAACGCCTTCAGTCTGAGAGACACACATGCTCAGGACCAAGATGTTCGCACTGCAAAACAGTGTTTTATGTGCAGTGCATGTGGGAAGACATTCTGGGATCAGTCCTCATTCGCTGTTCACCAGAGAGTGCATCCAGGTAAAAGCCTTCACGTGTGTGGCCAGTGTGGCCAGTCCTTTAGGCGAACCTCAACCCTCAGTCAGCATCGAAGATTTCATTGTGGGCCAAGGCAGTACAAGTGCGGCAAATGTGGGAAGTCCTTTCACCCAAAATCTGTGCTCATTTATCCCTGGAGAAGTCACGCTGGGGAAAAATGTGACTTGTGCCGTGAATGTGCACCATCTTTTAGCGAGAGATGCATCCTCATTCGACAACGGACTGTTCACTCTGGGGAAAGGCGTTACGAGTGCATGCAATGTGGGGAGTCCTTTAGAAGAAAATTTTACCTCATTCTGCATTGGAGAGTTCACACTGGAGAAAGGCCCCATGAATGCCGTGGGTGTGGGAAATCTTTCACCAGGAGATCAGTCCTTACTCTACACCGGAGAGCGCACACAGGAGAAAGGCCTTTTCGGTGCAGCAAATGTAGGAGAACCTTTACCGGTAGTTCCATACTCATTCTACACCAGAGAGTACACACAGGAAAAAGGCCTTATGAGTGCAGTGAATGTTGGAAATCCTTTAGCCAACAATCTTACCTCAGTCAACACCAGATAGTTCACAGTGGAAGACAGTCTTATGAATGTAATGAATGTGGGAAAGCTTTTCTCTCTCACCGTGGCCTTAGTTACCATCTGAGAGTTCACTCTGGAAAAAGGCCTTATCAGTGCAGTGACTGTGACAAATCTTTCACCTCACAATCGGGCCTGCGTTACCATCTGAGAGTTCACACTGGAAAAAGACCATATCAGTGCCGTGAATGTGGGAAATCTTTCTTATATGGTTCCTACCTCAGTATTCATCAGAGAGTGCACACAGGAGAAAGACCTTATCAGTGCAGTGAATGTGGTAAATCCTTTCTCCGAAGACATCACTTTCTTACACACCAGAGAATTCACACAGGAGAAAGGCCTTATCAGTGCAGCGAATGTGGGAAATCTTTTACATCTGGTAACAACCTAAGTAATCATCAGAGAGTACACACAAAAGAAAGACCTTATCAGTGCAGTGAATGTGGTAAATCCTTTCTCCGAAGACATCACTTTCTTGCACACCAGAGAATTCACACAAAGGAAAGACCTCATCCGTGCAGTGAATGTGGGAAATCTTTTATCCTAAGACAGCACCTCCTTGTACACCAGAGAGTTCATGCAGGTCAAAGGCCTTATCAGTGCAGTGAATGTGGGAAATCTTATTGTTCAAAGTTCAACCTCATTCAACATCAGAGAGTTCACACAGGAGAAAGGCCCTATGAGTGTAGTGAATGTGGGAAACGTTTCACCTCAAGCTCTGTCTTCAATTATCATAAGAAAGTTCACTCTGGAGAAAGGCCTTATCAGTGCAGCGACTGTGGGAAATCTTTTTTCTCAAGTTCCAACCTCAATACTCATAAGAGAGCACACACAGGAGAAAGACCCTATGAGTGTAGCGACTGCGGGAGGTCCTTTTTCCGAAGTTCCCACCTTCATACACACCAGAGAGTTCACACAGGAGAGAGGCATCAGTGCGATGAATGTGGGAAATCTTTTGCATCCGCTTTCAATCTCAGAAATCATCAGAGAGATCACACAGGAGAAAAGCCCTATGCGTGCACTGTATGTGGGATCTCTTTCACCACTCAGAGGAAGCTTCGTTATCATCTGGGAGTTCACACCGGAGAAGGGCCCTATGAGTGTCATGAATGTGGGAAATCTTTTACCTCTCATTATGCCCTCCACGACCACGAGAGACTTCATACAGACAAAAAACCTTATGAATGCACAAAATGTGGGAAATCGTTCAGAGCAAATTCTCACCTCATTGAACACTGGAGAGTTCACACTGGAGAAAAACCTCATCAGTGTGGAGAATGTGGGAAGTCTTTTTCATCGGGCTCTGGCCTCCGTTATCATCAGAGTGTTCACACCAGGTTAAGACCTCACGAGTGTAGTGAATGTGGGAAGTCTTTTATGCAGAGACATCATCTTCTTGCACACCAACGAGTTCACGCAAAATAAGGGCCTTACGATTGCAGTGAATGTTGCAAAAACTTTAAGGATAGTCCCCAGTCCAATTAACACTGGAGCATTCACACTGGAGGTAGGCATTTCAAAAACGGGGAAACATTTTTTAGCCATAGTTCTTACCTTTTTATTTTATATTTTTTTAAATCCTCACTGGAGGATATTTTTCCATTGATTTTTAGAGAGAGTGGAAGAGAGAAGCAAAGAGAGAAAATCAGTGTGAGAGAAACACATCCGTTGGTTGCCTACTACATGAGCCCTAACCAGGCCAGGCCAGGGAGGAGCCTGCAACTGAGGTACATGACCTTGACCTGAATGAAACCCAGGACCCTGTGGTTCACAGGCCGACGCTCTACCCACCGAGCCAAACTGGTAGGGCGAAAATAAGAGTTTTGTGTATGCCTGTAGCAATGATCACCCCAAGGCCATTGTAAGTTAAAAGAAAACTGTCTAGGGATATGGCTCTTGTGATCCAGCCAGCACTCCTGAGTGAAGTAAAAATATCCTTTATAACCAGCCAATATTTTTTGCCACTGAGGCAACACCCTCAGATGGCAATAGGAGAAATACGGTGGTGTCCATATAAGATTACCAAACCTATATCTTTTTAAAATATATAAATATATTTTTTTGTATTCATTTCAGAGAGGAAGGGAGAGGAAGATAGAAACATCAATGATCATCAATTGGCTGCCTCCTGCACACCCCACACGGGATGAGCCCACAACTTGGTCATGTGTCCTGACTGGGAATCAAACCATTATCTCCTGATTCATAGGTCTACACTCAACCGCTGAGCAACACCAGCAGGGCATTAAACCTATTAATACAAAAGTTTTTAAATACTTCAATAAGGTGTAACTTACATGTAATAAACTGTACATATGTAAATTGTATTTGATCAATCTTGACATTCATGTGAAACCGAAAACACCACTGCAATTATGGTAATGATTTAATTTTCGGTGTATTTTTGGCTTATGTCCTTTTATAATCTCTCCCTGCTCTTCACAGCCCTCCAAGTAATTTGGTTTACTTTCCTTTAGTATAGATGCCTTTGTATTTTCTATAATTTATATGATGGCAATCATTGAATGTTTACCTTTTTTTTCTGGTTTCCTTTATGTTGTATTATTGCTTAGAGATTCATCTATGATATAATTGCCTCAACTCCCCCCCCCCCCCCCCCACACACACACCTTTGGATGTGCCACAATGGGTTTATCCATTCATCTCTTTATGGACATTTGGATCATTTCCATTTAAAAGAAATATGTTATTGATTTTTAGAGAGAGGGTAAAAAACCATCAGTGTGAGACTGATACATCAGTTGGCTGCTTCTTGTAAGTCCCCTACTTGGAATCTAATGCACAGTATTTTGTTGCACAGGAGGTTGCCAAACCAACTGAGCCACACTGGCCATGGCATATTCTACTTCTTTATGCATTCACTGGTTTATTCTTGTATGTGCCCTTACTAGGGATTGAACCCTCAACCTTGGCGTGTTGTGATGGTGCTCCAACCAACTGAGCTCCCAGCCTGGCCTCTTAATTATTTTCAAAAATTTTGTGCTGTGCACAATGTAATGGGAACATACACCATACACTTTGGTTTTTGTTGTTGTTAATCCTCGCCCGAGGATATTTTTTCCATTGATTTCTAGAGAGAATCGAAGGAATTAGGGAGGGGGGGATGTGAGTAAGAAACATCAGTGTGATAGAGACACATTGATTGGTTGCCTCCCGCAAGCACCCCAAACCAGGGCTGGGGATCGAACCTGCAACCCAGGTACATGCCCTTGACCAGGAATTGAACCCGTGGCATTTTGGTTGGAGAGTGGAGCGTGAGAGAGATTTTCTGGGAGCCGTGCACACTGGTCAGCAATGGTGCCCTCAGCACAAATGCGAGAGAGTGGACTTTACTCCAGCTCTGATCCAGCTGTGGAATGACAGAAATGACTTTGTGGAGGGAGGGAGGACAGAGACAGGCTCAGGATACCGGGAGGGATGTGAGGGTCTTACTCGTGGGTGCAGTAGTGCAAAGTTCTCCCACATCCCATCACGGTACATGAACCTCAGCCTCATCCAGGAGACTCCACTCCAGGGAGAAGTTAATGGCCATGGTCTCCAATGTCATTATAGAGGTGGTTTATTCTACTATAGTAGCTTCTCTCCTAACACTAGAATGATGTCCCTTCCCGCAAACATCCCCACATCCATTCTCTGGTAACCCTATTCCCAGTCACCCCACCTCAAAGAAGACCACAGGTCCTGGTGCTCGCTCTCAACCCACGGCCACAATGGTCACTGACTGCACAAAAGAACAAAGCAGGCATCTGGACCTGATGCAAGGCCCAGTATTCTTTTTAAAATAATATATTTTTATTGACTTTAGAGAGGGAGGGAGAGAAAGGTAGAAAACATCAGTGATGAGAGAGAATCATTAATTGGCTGCGTCTGCTTGCCCAGAACTGGGGATTGAGCCCACAACCTGTGCATCTGCCCTTGACCGGAATCGAACCTGGGACCCTTCAGTCTGCAGGCCGACGCTCTATCCACTGAGCCACACCAGCTAGGGTGAGGCTTGATATTCTGTTACTAGGAAGACCAATATGTATAAACAACAGGCTTCCCTGTCATTTTGCTTTAATAACGCCTATGCCTCCAGGACCATTTCATGTCTCCTCCTTCCTCAGAAGCCATGGCCGCCAGCTGGGTATCCTAGATGCCCAGCCGCAACCAGGTGCCCAAGCTAGACCTGCACTCGGGCATCCAACATCCGCTTCCTGATTCACTGTTAGCATTACCATCATGTTTAGGATTCCTCTTACTGTTACTAAGAGTTCCCCCTCTCTACACACTGCCCACCACCTTTGGTAAACTGTCCGTCTGACAGAGTTCCAGAATTGTGTGTTCAGCTGCCCACTGAGGAATTGTACTCCTTTGTTCTCTGGAATATCTTACACACTGAATATGTCTAGAAGAAAAACTGCTGCCCTAACCGGCTTGGCTCAGTGGATAGAGTGTCAGCCTGCAGACTGAAGGGTCCCAGGTTCAATTCTGGTTCAAGGGCATGTACCTTGGTTGCGGGCACATCCCCAGTGGAGGGTGTGCAGGAGGCAGTCGATCGATGTTTCTCTCTCATCCAATGTTTCTAACTATCCCTCTCCCTCTCTGAAATCAATAAAAATATATTTAAAATAAATAAATAAATATATATATATATATTAAAAAATACAAGCCTCCTTGTATCTTGAAAACAAGGAAATTCCTTGTCGTTTTAGCAAAGTGGAAAAAGAACCAAATTCCAATTCTGTATTAGCTTATTTTTTATTTTAAAATTAATTTAATTAAATTTATTATTCAGGAGAGTGCATGCTGAACCTTCATTTTGAGGGTTTTAAAGACTGGGTTTTATTATTTCTGGGAAAGTGTTATGGAGTGAGCAAACTACAGGATGATATTACTGTTATAAAAAGATTGTTTCTGGGAAAATAGAAAAAAGACCCCAAAAAATGTAGCCCTGGGTGGGGTGCTCAGTGGTTATAGCATTGTCCTGAGCACTGCAGGGTCTTGGGTTCGATTCCTGCTCAAGGGCACATCCCTTCGTTACAGGTTCAATCTCCAGTTCAGGTGCAGGCAGGAGGCAAGCGATTGATTTGTCGCTCGCTTTGATGTTTCTCTCTCTTCCTTCCTCTCCCCTCCCCTCCCTCCCTTCCACTCTTTAAAAACTCAATGGAGCCCTAGCTGGTTTGGCTCAGTGGATAGAGCGTCAGCCTGCGGACTGAAGTGTCCTGGGTTCAATTCCAGTCAAGGGCACATGCCCAGGCTGTGGGCTTGATTCCCAGTAGGCGGCTTGTAAGAGGCAGCCAATCATTGAATCTCTCTCATCATTGATGTTTCTATCTCTCCTCTCTCCCTCTCCCTTTCTCTGTAAAATCAATAAAAAAAAAAAAACTCAATGGAAAAAATATTCTCCTGTGAAGATTAACAACAACAAAATAACTTAAAAAGAATGCTTCTGAGAGAGGTTGAACTGCAATGATATTAGGTATTTACTTTTGGTATCATGGGCTTTTAGCATGAGTGATACCATGTAAACCTGTGGTCTTTCTTTTTAAAATTTTTTTATTGCTTCTTTTATTTTTTATTAAAATATGTATTTATTAATTTCAGAGAGGAAGAGAGATATAGAAACACCAATGATGAGAGAGAATCATTGATCGGCTGCCTCCTGCACACCCCCTACCGGGGATCTAGCCCTCAACCTGGGCACGTGCCCTTGACCAGAATTGGTCTTTTATTAATTTATTAGTTATTTTATCTTTTATTAATCCTCACCCGAGGATATTTTTCCTTTAATCGTCAGGGGGAGAGTGGAAGGGAGGGAAGAGGAGTGGAGAGAGAGGGAAACATGGATGTGAGAGAGACACATGGACTGGTTGCCCTGCCGCATGCACCCCAACTGGGACTGGGGATTGAACCTGCAACCCAGGTACATGCGTTTGACCGGGAATTAAACCTGGGCTGATGCTCTAACCATTGAGCGAAGTCGGTCAGGGCAATTTTTTTATTTCTTGACTTTAGACAGAGATAAAACACACACACACACATTGATTTGTTGTTTCACTTATTATGCGTTCATTGATTGATTCTTATATGTGCCCTGATCTGGAGTCAATCCTGCAACCTTGGTGAATCAGCAGGATCCACTGAGCAACTGAGCCACAGCATCAAGGCCAGCCTGTCATTTTCTTTATTTTATTTTATTTTATTTTATTTTATTTTATTTTATTTTATTTTATTTTATGTTTTAATGTTACTGGTTTCAGAGAGAAAGGGCGAGGGAGAGAGAGAAAAGAAACTTTAATGATGAGAGAGAGTCATAGATCGGCTGCCTCCTGCAAGCCCCCCCGCTGAGGACCAAACCCACATGTGCCCTGACCAGGACTGGTTCCCTCACCGGGAATTGAACCTGGAGCTCCTGGTTCCTAAGTGGACGCTCGGCCACTGAGCCACGCTGACCCACACCAGCCAGGCCCTGTGGTTCTCTGTTTCGAATAGCCTGTTGTGCCCTAACCGGTTTCGCTCAGTGGATAGGGCGTCAGTCTCCGGACTCAAGGGTCCCAGGTTCGATTCCGGTCAAGGGCATGTACCTTGGCTACAGGCACATCCCCAATAGGGAGTGTGCAGGAGGCAGCTGATTCATGTTTCCCTCTCATCGATGTTTCTAACTCTCTATCCCTCTCCCTTCCTCTCTGTAAAAAATCAATAAAATATATATATATATATTTTTAAAAATAGCCTGTTGTTCTGAAGCTCAGATGACCACTGAATTTGCAATAGGTACCCTAAGTGGGGGGAGCAGTGAGCCCTCATAACCCATCCTAAGGTTGATATCGTCAGATTCGAGTTTTCGCTGCAATTTACACGGAGCGGGCCCTTCACGCGGGTCGCAGCTGAACCAGGGACCCCTCCAGGGGAAAACATTCCAGCAGGGGTCCCCAAACTTTTTAAACAGGGGGCCAGTTCACTGCCCCTCAGACCGTTGGAGGGCCGGACTATAGTTTAAAAAAAAAACTATGAACAAATTCCTATGCCCACTGCACATATCTTATTTTGAAGTAAAAAAAAAACAAAACAAAATGAAAAAAATAAAAATAAAAAATAAATAAGTAAATAAATAAATAAACAAAAAAAACCCAAAACGGGAACAAATACAATATTTGTATTTGCATGTGGCCCGCCAGCCGTAGTTGGAGGACCCCTGTTCCAGTGGCTCAGGAGGCTGAACTCCCTTCTGTGTCCCCTTAGCTCTGGGAACTACATTTCCCAGAAGGCGTTGCGCTGCGTGGAGGCACTGACACCTCAGGATGAAAGCGTTGCCTGGAGACCTCCCGGCCTGGAGGCGGGACTTCCGGCCGCTCGGCAGCCGTCCATCTTTGCAGGTTGGCCCGAGTGCATTCTGGCGCCAGAGCCCCTTTTCAGGTAACAAAGCCGCCGGGCGCCGAAGAGGCGTGGTCCTCCGTGCACGGGTCCGAGGCCGGGGCCGGGGAAGGGACCGTGACGCCCACGCCGGCTCCCCGCAGAGTCCGATGGCGGCGGCAGCGAGGCGCCCGGCCGAGGTGAGCGTGTCCCCGGGGGCACCCCGCTCCCCCCACCCCCAACCCTGCACCCGGCTGGCGGGCGCCCGTCCCCTCCTGCAGCCCAGGCCCCGGGGGTGACATTTAGGCGGGAGGCAGGTCATCGTGGCGGTGCAACTAGCTGCTCGGAAAGATCGGGGTTCATGATGAGCTTTTTTCCCCCCTTTTTTCCTTTTTTTTTTCCTTGCTCGGCATCGGGTTCAGGGCGCCGGGCGGGAGGTGGGCGGGGGACTCCATGGGAGGGAGGACCGTCCGCAGGTGCGTGGACCAGGGGGTCCTGCAGGCGGAGGAGGCCTGGAGATGAGATGACATCGCGGGCCGAGTTCCCGCCTCTTCCCTCCCGCATGGAGCCCCCAGAAGGTGGGGGTGCGCTCTGGAGCCCCCAGAATGTGGGGGTGCGCTCTGAGGGGGCGCGGGAGTTTCCGTGTTGCATGTGGTCACTTTAAAGATTTTTTTTGTGTGTGTGTGGGTGAAAAATTTTATTTAAAAAAGAGCATGCAGGATCTTTAGCGATAGTGGTGCTTACAAACTATAGATGTCACAAAGCTGCACACTAAAAATCAGGAAGGAATTTCACCAAGTGTAAATATGTATTTAAAAAAATCAACTTTAAAACCAAAACCCATCAGAGCCATTTTCTACTTCTCTATTGCCAAAAACCCATCTGATGATCGACCCATTGTTCAACAGGCATTCTTGCCCAGGAGTATAAACTGGTACAGCCTTGGCATTTTGATAGAAATTCAAATGCATAAAGCCTTCAACTTAGCAAAAAAAAAAAAAAAAATCACTACCTACTTGGCTCTCTATATGCATACTTAATGCCATTTACTACATTGTTTATAATTGCAAATGGAAACCCAAATATCCATAGAATAGTGCTAGTCATTTTTTTTTCCCAGATGTTTCTTTCTAATGAATTGACCATTACGTTTCCTAAGTTCTGAAACGGCCAACAGACCATAGAAAGACATTTTTTTAGGCTCCTGCTTGAAACCAGCCGCTTCAGCAAACTGCTGGCCTTGATTCAGAGCCAATAAAGATCTTTTTTTTTTTTTAAATTAATTTCAGAGAGGAAGGGAGAGGGAGAGAGAGATAGAAACATCCATGATGAGGGAGAGTCATGGATCGGCTGCCTCCTGCACGCCCCTCACTGGGGATCGAGCCCGCAACCTGGGCAGGTGCCCCACATTCGCCTCTCAGTGTCTGGGTGAATGTGTCCAGATCCATACCACTTCTCTCTCCCAGGGTTCGATCCCTTCTGGTAGCTGTCATTTCCTCCTGTCTACCTGTGCAAGGACTTGCAGGTGTTGTCTGGGTAGCTGTTTCCTCCCCCCCACCTCCCATAGAACTGGGACCCCCTGATTGACAGGTTGAAGCCCAACCACTGAGCCACCCGACCTGGCCCCTATGAGGTCCTTGTTGATGTCCCTGTGCCGGGAATGGTGCCCTCTGGCCAAGGGTGTGCGGAGAGGGTGAACGCAGGGAGGATGCGGTGGCTGCTGGGGGGACGCACGGTAGTGGGGGGTCGCAGCCTCTGAGCTGCAGGGGAGCCCCTGGGTCGGGGGTGGAGGCCAGATGCCCAGAGGAGGCCTTCCCAGCGGCGTGGCGGGTGCCCCGGGGGATGGAGGTGTGAGGGGTACAGTCCACAGAGGGCTGTGCACATTGGGGGGAAGTGGGAGTTAGGGTCCCGGGGCCGAGCATTGGGGACTGACAGGTGAAGCCTGAGCCGAAGCTTGGCGGGGCCTGGTCACCATCTGGAGACCCCAAGGGGAAGGCGAGGCATGATGGGCGCCCTGCCCGCCAGGAACAGACCTGGGTTCCATCTCTGTGCCCTCCAGCGGGGCGCTGCTGAGGGCAGACCCTCAGGCCTAAAGGGAAACGGGAGGGTCGGGTGTGCCCCCCTGGCACCTGTGCCCACCTGTGGGGTTCCTCTGAGGTGGGAGCAGGGGAGGAGGAGGCGTGAGGGGTAGTTGGGTGGGGAGAGGGACTGTGGGTTCTCAGGCACAGAACGGTCATGGTTCCCTCTGTCCCCGTCATTCCAGGCCGGCGTGACCTTGGAGGATGTGGCCGTGCATTTCTCCCGGGAGGAATGGAGGCTGGTGGACGAGGCTCAGAGACGCCTGTACCTGCGGGTGATGCTGGAGAACTTTGCACTTGTCTCCTCTCTGGGTAAGACTCACAGCCTCACAGGGACCTGGACTGGACTCTCCTCCCTCCCCCTGTCCCCTCCCTCAGTCCCGTGGGGCCTGGACCCCAGCACTGCTGCCTCCCCAGTTTTCTGGGCAGTTGCTGTGTTGCTGGGGCTGGTGGGTGTGCATGGCCCTCTGCTCCCCCCTGCAGTCCCCATACTGAGCCCTTTGGGGAAGGGACTCAGGGTCAGTAAGTGGTACTGCATTGAGCTTCATGGATTTGCCTCTCAGTGTCTGGGTGAATGTGTCCAGATCCATACGACTTCTGTCTCCCAGGGTTCGATCCCTTCTGTAGCTGTCATTTCCTCCTGCCCACCTGTGCCAGGACTTGCAGGTGTTGTCTGGGTAGCTATTTACCTGAAGCTGGGCTTTGCTTTAAGACTCTCCTGCAGTGTGTAGTGTTTAGATCTGTTTTCCTCCCCCCAACTCCCATAGCCTTGTCGAGATACAAACTTGTATATATTAAAGTGTACAGTGTGCTGTTTTTATATATACAGAGTGTCCCCCCAAAAATGTATACAGACTTTAACAACTGATAGCCAAATTTTGAAAATGCAATGTATTTTAAAAAACACTGCGTTTGCCCTAGCTGGTTTGGCTCGGGGGATAGGGCGCAGGCCTGGGGACTGAAGGGTCCCTGGTTTGATTCTGGTCAGGGGCACATGCCCAGGGTTGCGGGCTCGATCCCCAGTAGGGAGCGTGCAGGAGGCAGCCATTCAATGATTCTCTCTCATCATTGATGTTTCTATCTCTCTCTCCCCCTCTCCATTCCTCCATGAAATCAATAAAAATATATTTAAAAAAAAAAAACAAAACCCAAAAACACTGCCTTTACAATTATTCAAAGTATGTATACATTTTTGGTGGATACCCTATATCTACATATATAAAAGGCTAATATGCAAAGTGTCCCCTCAGGAGTTCGACCAGGAGACCGGGAGTTCGATCACTCGCTTTGACGTGCACTGACCACTAGGGGGCGGCACCGAACAAAGGGAGGCCCTGGCCAGCAGCCAGAAGGCCCCAGTCGGCCCTAGGGACCCTACCCATGCACTAATTTCGTGCACAGAGCCTCTACTAGTAAAATAATTGCCACACTGAAGTTAATTAAACATATAAAGCTAATTTATTATATTTTTTTATGCTAGGAATGTCTAAGACCTTCTGTCAATAAATTTCAAGTAAAACATTATTAACTGTAGTCACCATGGTAATTACATGCTCAGAACTCACTCAGCTTCTAATGGGACGTGTGCTGCATGTTTTGACCATCATGTTTCCATTTTCCCCTACGCCCCAAATCCTGGCCTTCTACGCTTTTTCTATAATTTTGACTTTTTTTTTTTAACACTTTCAACCATAGGGCCCCATGGTTCCATTGTATCTCTACCTGCACCAGCACTTATTTCTGCTTTTTGGATGGTGGCCATCTTAGCTTATTTATTTGTTTTTTGTGCCAAAACCGGTAGGAACAACATCTTTGGACATTGTTAGATCTTTGATCAAATGTTTATTCAGGTTTTTTTGCCCATTTTTTCATTGGATTGTTCCTTTGCAGTGGAGTTGTTGAACACCTTATATATGTAAATACTTACCCATTATGCGGCAGCCCTTACAAGTACTTTCACACTTTTCATTGTGTTAATTGCCTTTTTGCTGTGCAGAAGCTCTGTGGTTCCATGGTGCCTGGCTCATTTACCTTTGCCCTTGTTGTCTGCCTTTAGTGTCATCCAAAATATTCGTGCCAAAACCACTGTCAAAGAGCTTCTTTTTTCTTTTTTATTTTTTTTTTTTTTTTATTTTTTTTTTTTAATATATTTTATTGATTTTTTACAGAGAGGAAGGGAGAGAGATAGAGAGTTAGAAACATCAATCAGCCGCCTCCTGCGCATCTCCTACTGGGGATGTGCCAGCAACCCAGGCACATGCCCTTGACCGGAATCGAACCCGGGACCCTTCAGTCCGCAGGCCGACGCTCTATCCACTGAGCCAAACCGGTTCCGGCTCTTTTTTCTTTTTTAATGTATTTTATTGATTTTTTACAGAGAGGAAGGGAGAGGGATAGAGAGCTAGAAACATGGATGAGAGAGAAACATCGATCAGCTGCCTCCTGCACACCCCCCACTGGGGATGTGCCCACAACCAGGGTACATGCCCTTGACCGGAATTGAACCCGGGACCCTTCAGTACGCAGGCCGACGCTCTATCCACTGAGCGACACCGGTCAGGGCTATGGCTTCCTTTTTGATGAAAGGAGTTAAAACCTACTGAGCCAAACTGGCTAAGGCTTCTCTTCATTTATTAATAATATTGTGTATGTAAAGAGTAAAAAATAAGAACTATCTCAAATTTTTTTTTTTTTTTAGTCATGTTCTGGAAAAATATTTGATACTAAAGCTAGTCTGAATTTGTTTAATGTCTTTTAAAATTGTTTTTTTTTAAATATATTTTATTGATTTTTTACAGAGAGGAAGGGAGAAAGACAGAGAGTCAGAAACATCGATGAGAGAGAAACATCGACCAGCCGCCTCCTGCACATCCCCCACTGGGGATGTGCCCGCAACCCAGGTACATGCCCTTGACCGGAATCGAACTCGGGACCTTTCAGTCCGCAGGCCGACGCTCTATCCACTGAGCCAAACCGGTTTCGGCGTCTTTTAAAATTATTAACAAAATATGTTTTACCTGGGTTTGCAGGAATACTTTTTTTTTTTATATATATTTTTTTATTGATTTCAGAGAGGAGGGGAGAGGAAGAGAGATAGAAACATCAATGATGAGAGAGAATGATTGATTGGCTGCCTCCTGCACGCCCCCCTATTGGGGATCGAGTCCGCAACCCAGGCATGTGCCCCCAACTGGAATCGAACCCAGGACCCTTTAGTCTGCAGGCCAACACTATCCATTGAGCCAAACCAGTTAGGGCTCGAATAAGTTACTGTTTTTATCTCTGGTTACAAAATTTGTCATGAAAATGACATCAGTAATAATTAACTTTAAAATCTCATAGTTTTGAAGAAACAAGTAGAGCCCTGGTCAAGATTTTCGATAAATCTGCTACTTTTTTAGTCCCTTTTAATTTTGCCTTTTGACTAGGGCTCTACTTATTTGTCAAATGATTGTGTTAATCATTTATCAGATACTTGATTTACTTTCAAGGAAATTCATCTTCAATCCGAAGAATTAAAATTTTGCCAGTCTGTATTAATGTTTCATACTTTTTATTGCCACCTTAGCTAAATAATTATTTAATATTATTTCATAACAATATGTAATCCTTAGATTAAGCATGTTTGACAAGCTTCCCAAGGTTTGAATTTTAAGAATTTTCCTTAACTTAGAAGTGGCTTAGAGTTATTCTATTTTTAAAAAATATATATTTTATTGATTTTTTACAGAGAGGAAAGGAGAGAGATAGAGAGTCAGAAACATCAATGAGAGAGAAACATCGATCAGCTGCCTCCTGCACACCCCCCACTGGGGATATGCCCGCAACCCAGGTACATGCCCTTGACCAGAATCGAACCTGGGACCCTTGAGTCTGCAGGCCGACGCTCTATCCACTTAGCCAAACCGGTCAGGGCTAGAGTTATTCTAAAGGGCTCCTGTAGTACCTCAAGGATTTATTCTTTCTCTCTCTCTTTTTTTTTTTTTTAATATATTTTATTGATTTTTTACAGAGAGGAAAGGAGAGAGATAGTCAGAAACATCAATGAGAGAGAAACATCGATCAGCTGCCTCCTGCACATCTCCTACTGGGGATGTGCCCGCAACCCAAGTACATGCCCTTGACCAGAATCAAACCTGGGACCTTTCAGTCCGCAGGCTGACGCTCTATCCACTGAGCCAAACCGGTTTCGGCCAATATTCTTTCTCTTTATAAAAGAGAAATTTTGGACTTATCAGGCTTATTCAATGTTTGAAAATACATGGAAAACTTTTGTCAAATAATAAAAAAAAAGATAACTATGCCCTGGCTGGTGTGGCTCAGTGGATAGATCATGGGCCTGCAGACTGAAGGGTCCCCGGTTTGATTCTGGTCAAGGGCACATGCCTGGGTTGCGGGCTCGGTCCCTGGTGAGGGGCGTGCAGAAGGCAGCCAATCAGTGATTCTCTCTCATCATTGATGTTTCTATCTTTCTCTCCCTCTCCCTTCCTCTCTGAAATCAATAAAAGTATATTTTAAAAAAAAGAATAACCTTGTTTTATTTCTTTTTATTTTTCTGTTACTCCTCACCCGAGGATTTTTTTCCATTGATATTTAGGGAGTGGAATGGACGGGGAGAGACAGAGAGAAACATCGATGGGAGAGAGACCCATCAATTGGTTGCCTCCCTAAGAGACTGGAGCTGACCAGGGACCGAGCCTGCAACCGCGGTATGTGCCCTTGATCAGAATGGATCCCGAGACCCTTCAGTCTGCGGACTGACACTCTATCCAGTGAGCCAAACTGGCTAGGCCACTATGTTTTATTGGCACACAGATAATTTTATTGTTTAAGTAGATTTTACAGAGATTACATTGAAGAACCTCCCAAGAATCTACACAGTTCTGACACACTTTCATTTATAATTCTGATTGTTATTTTGGAATGTTACGTCTTACAGAAAGGACAGTGTTCCGTACCAATCCCATTATAATCAGAACTATGACCATATTATTTTGGCTTTTTTTTGTCATTTAAAGACAGTCATTGCCCTAACTGGTTTGGCTCAGTGGATATAGCATCGGCCTGCGGACTCAAGGGTCCCAGGTTCGATTCCGGTCAAGGGCATGTGCCTTGGTTGCAGGCACATCTCCAGTGGGGGGGTGTGCAGGAGGCGGCTGATCGATGTTTCTCTCTCATCGATGTTTCGAACTCTATTCCTCTCCCTTTCTCTCTGTAAAAAATCAATAAAATATATTTTAAAAAAATAATAAATAAACTAGGCAAAGCTTTATAGAACTCTCGTAAACGGAATTACTGCTTCTTCCCATGTC